GGGGCCGCTCGGCGGCCAATAGCTGACCAGGGCGGGCCAGGAGGCCACGCCCCACGAGATGTGTGTGTGTGTGTGTGTGCCGAGACTCGGCCTGCCGATGTCTCCCTCCCCCGTGGCCCCAGATCGGGGCCCGCTCGGCGCCAGAGCCCGCCCAGGCCGCCGGACCGGGCGGCCGAAGAGGCTCGGCCCCGGACGCCGAACGCCCTCCTCCTCCTCCTCCTCCTCCTCCTCCTCCTCCTCCTTCTCTCCTCCTCCTTTTTGGTTGACCAAGCCTTATGACAGAGCCCCTCCTCCTCCTCCTCCTCCTCCTCCTCCTCCTCCTCCTCCTCCTTTCCCCCTTCGCGGGTCGCCATCCTGGTGGGGAAGGCACCCTCGAACCACGACTGCGTCAGGATGGGTTGCTCTCGAGGCGCATGCATCATGCAAGCGGCGCCAGTGGGCTCACTGTCGCCGTGCTGCGCATGGGCTTATTGGTCCTTGATGCACTTTGGAGTGATCGATCGCACGCTCCCCCAAGAACACCTGCACTCCCCTTACTTTGTGTTACCGCTCCTCGTGTGTCCCGACTCCTTTGCTCTTTTCGGGTCGGGCGAAAGGGGGGGATAGCAAAGGGGGGGTTTGAGAATCAGCTCACGTAGCTGATTTTCCCGGCGCCTCCCGGCGCCGGAGGCGGCCACGTATCGAGGAATGGGCCCCTCGGTGAGGCCGAAACCAGCTGCATGCAGCAAATTTCGTACCCCTCCCTTTCCCAATCCCCCCCTTTCGTCCGGCCCCGATCACATCTGCCCAGGTTCTGACCTGCGATCGGCTGCTCCTGCTGAACACCTGGCCGACGTCCCTGCTTGCCCAGTGGGCCTGCGGCCCCCTCGCTGGCGGCCGATGCGGCGGAGAGCTGCGGCGGAGAGCTGCGCCTTCAGGCGGCTGCACTTCCGCCCCCCCCCCCCCCCCGCGCGTCCGAGCCCACGTGCGGGCGCTGGTGGACCACGCGCACGGGGTGGCACCTGGCGGGCGGCCGGCGAGGGCCTGGGGTCCCCAAACCCGTGTGGTGACAGACCGCGCGGCGACCTCAGGCCCCCCAAAGAGGCCTCACCGCACGGTTCGTCCCCGCACGGGCTTGGGACCCTGGAGGCCCCCGTCGCCCGAGGCGCCCTCGGAGAACGACCCGAGTCCAGAGACCGCGCGGTGCACCCGCATGCCCATGGACTCACCTGGCGGTGTGGTCACCACATCGCTCGGCCATAGGGGCAAACGTCGTGCGCAGACTGTCGGAGCTCCGCGCGGACTTTTTGGCTCTGTGCCGGAGCCCCCTCCCTGGCGCGCGGAGCGCGCCCTGGGCGGCGCCCTGGGCGGCGCCGGTGGGGGGAGGCCCAACTTGAGCAGGGACCGACCGCCCCGGCATTCCTATAGTCCTACCACGAAATGTTCTTAGCACCCAAACATGTACTAAGAACAAAAACGATGTTCTTAGAACATAAGCCGGATGTGTTCAAACAAGACAGCCCCGGCCAGAAATGTTCTGAGAATATGTTGTGCAGACCACAAAAAGTTCTTAGAACATTGTTTGGTGGGGCTATAGGCGAGCCAGGACGCTTCGCCACGGGTGCTGGAGGGGAGGCGCCACCTGCTCGAAGCAGGCGCCCCAAACAGCCAAGATCTACTCCAGGGGAGCAGGAGGACCAGGAGGAGGAGGAGGAGGAGGAGGAGGAGGAGGAGGAGGAGGAGGAGAAGGAAGCGAAGGAGGAGGGGAGGGGGAGGAGGAGGAGGAGGAGGAGGAGAGGAGGAGGAGGAGGAGGAGGAGGAGGAGGACGAGGAGGAGGAGGAGGGAGGAGGAGGAGGAGGAGGAGGAGGAGGAGAGGAGGAGGAGGAGGAGGAGGAGGAGGAGGAGGAGGAGGAGGAGGAGGAGGAGGAGGAGGAGGAGAGACAAAAACGATCACTCCTCCGTCGCTCGATCTGTGCCTGCGCCGTTTCTCTCTCCGTCGAGCCGCGCGCCCCGCGGCGCGCCGAAGGGCGCGGCCGCCTGCGCGCGGCCCCTCTCGCGGCCGCCGCCCCCGCCCGGAGGGGAGGGAGAGAGAGAGCGCGCGCCGCCTCTCCACGAAGGGGGCCCTGGGACACACCAACAAATACACACAAATAACAAGATTCCCTGGGTTTTTGCGGCCCTCTCGCGGCTTCCGCCCGCCTGGAGACGAGGGAGAGAGAGAGCGCGCGCCGCCTCTCCATGAAGGGGGGCCCTGGGACACACAAATAACTACGCACAGACTTCGTGATACAAGGGAGGGGGTCTGGACCCTCCAAGACAAGCCATTCCAGACCCCCCCCGTGGGAGAACCCTCCGAAACATCGTCCCCAGACCCCCCCAGGCCCTCCAAGATAGCTTGGAAAAGACCCCCCCCCGAAATGAAACCCCCCTCCCTTTATTACGAAATCTGGAGTACGCACAGATAACAGGATCCCCCATCTTCTCGTATCCTTTCGGGTTTTTTGCCTTCCCCCCCCCACTCCCCATCTTGTTCCATATGTTCAGAGACATCGAGTGCCCTGGCTCTTGCACCAAGGAGCTGCTAGAGACAGGAGGTGTTCGCCTCCTTCCTCCAGGAGTTTACTACGGTGGCTGTGGGAGGGAGGACGGACGACGAGCAAACGAACGACGACCACGAACGAAAATAAAGAGGTTCGAGCTCTAGAGCACAGCTGTGCAAGAGAATAACTACGCACAGATAACAGGATTCCCCATCTTCTCGTCTCTTTTCGGGTTTTTTGCCTTCCCCCCCCCACTCCCCATCTCGTTCCATATGTTCAGAGACATCGAGGATTCATCGTGTCTGTGTGCTTCTTTCCCTCCTGACCCCAGCCCGGGCCGCGAGGCCGCGGCACGTCTTCGCTTATGATGCTCCAGGCTGCAGCAGCCTTGCTCGCCAGAAAAGACTTCGAGCACCGGCAGGGAATTCCGAAGCTCGAGGGTCTTCGCGTCGGGCCCTGTCGGGTCGGGCGAAAGGGTGGAATAGCAAAGGAAGGGTTTGAGAATCAGTTCGGGTAGCTGATTTTCCCGGCGCCTCCCGGCGCCGGAGGCGGCCATGTATCGAGGAATGGGCCCCTCGGCGGGGCCGAAACCAGCTGCATGCAGCAAATTTCGTACCCCCCCCCTTTCCCAATTCCCCCCTTTCGCCCGGCACGACCCTGGGAGACACTCGTCCGACACTGGCAGAGAATTCCGAAGCTCGAGGGTTAGGAGGGGAGGGGGAGGGGAGGAGGAGGAGGAGGAGGAGGAGGAGGAGGAGGAGGCGGAGGAGGAGGAGGAGGAGGGGAGGAGGAGGCGGAGGAGGAGGAGGAGGAGGAGGAGGAGGAGGCGGAGGAGGAGGAGGAGGAGGAGGAGGAGGAGTCACGTCGGGCCCTGGGAGGCACTCGCCCGACACTGCTTCGGCACCTCCCCGGCGGCTCGCGCACGACGGGAGCACCATGCGTCCTCGCGCCCCTGCGGGCGGCCTCTCTGCGGCGGGCGCAGGAGCGCAGAGTCCCGGCCGCACTCGGGTCGGGCAGGGCCTCCCGCGGGCGGGCTCTGGAAGAATACTCCAGATGTGTGAATATTCTGCAGCGCTGGATCTCGGGGAGGGGTACTCCAGATTTCGTGATAAAAGGGAGGGGGTCTGGACCCTCCAAGACAAGCCATTTCAGACCCCCCCCCGTGGGAGAACCCTCCAAAACGTCGTCCCCAGACCCCCCCAGGCCCTCCAGGATAGCCTGCAAGAGACCCCCCCCGAAATGAGACCCCCCTCCCTTTATTACGAAATCTGGAGTAGCCAACGTGGTCAAAGCATGATCACCCAATCGTCAGAAGCATGACGTCAAAGCAATCCTGGGATTTGTGCGTGTTTATCTGTGTGTCCCTGGGCCCCGTCGATGGGGCGCGGCCCTGGCAGCTCGGCAGAGTTGAGATGCCGAGCCGCTCGTCTTGGCTTCTGTTGGCCACTGCGCGGGACTTGCCGATCCTCGAGTCTCGCCCCCGCGCAAACACATCGTCAAAGCATGACACATCGAGCGGCCAACGTGGTCAACCGTCAAAGCACGACGCATCGTCCCCAGACTCCTCCTTTTTTTATACCCATTCTGGACCACTCCTTCTGTAGGGGGCCGTGCCCGACTTGAGGCTGCACGCAACGAGTGGCCCCAGGCAAGAGCGTCCTGAGGTGCGCGGCTGTCGGGTGGTGCGGGAAGGCCAAGCCCGAGCGCGCAAGCCTCTGCTGTCGCATCGCACTCAACCACCTGCGGACCCCCGGAGGGCCCGCACCACAGGTCACTCTGGCGAAACGTCACTCTTGCGTGCAGTTAGCACAAGCTGGCCTGCCAACGGGTGCCCCACGACGGTGCCAAATCTCCACGGGGCGGTGGGTCTACTAGAAACGGCCGCCGGGGTGTCGGGCAACAGTTATGGGAACATAGATCCGGCACGGCTGGAAGCAGCCTGAACATCTCCCTGCGGGAGGCACTGCGGTGCTGCGGTGCAGTACACATCTGAAGAGGCCCACCAACACACAAATAAATACACACAAATAAACTTATTCCCCATATTTTCCTATATTTTCAGAGTTTTTGTCTTCCCCACCACTTCCCATATTTTCCCCTATTTTCCTGGGGGTCGACGATTAATTGTGTCTGTGTGTTTCTTCCCCTCCTGGACATCGGAACATCGGAGGAGGAGGAGGAGGAGGAGGAGGAGGAGGAGGAGGAGAAGGAGGAGGAGGAGGAGGGAAGGAGGAGGGGAGGAGAAGGAGGAGGAGGAGGAGGAGGAGGAGCATTGTTTGCGGTGCTGCGGTGCAGTGCACATCGGAACTCTGTGTCAGCGACGTTAGGCATGCAGCGAAAGCCTCCAAAGCCCCCACGAGCCTGCGGGCGAACAGCCCATGACTCGGGCCCCGGAGGGATCTCCCGACTGGGCCGCCGAGCCCTGGGGGCACCTCTCGAGGTCAGAGTCGACGAGCGATGTGCATTCCCCTGACTTCTCGCAGCAGGCTGCCTTGTCGTGCGTGCGCCTGCTGCAGCCCCGCGTTGCCGTCCGCAGCGCTGCTCATACATGTCATGCCGGAAGCGCATACGATCCCAGGATCGGTGTGTGTGTGTGCCCTGCTGGCTTGGCCAGGAGGAAGAGGAGGAGGAGGAGGAGGAGGAGGAGGAGGAGGAGGAGGAGGAGAGGAGGAGGAGGAGGAGGAGCGATGGAGGAGGAGGAGGAGGAGGAGGAGGAGGAGGAGGAGGAGGAGGAGGAGGAGGGAGGAGGAGGAGGAGGAGGAGGGAGGAGGAGGAGGAGGAGGAGGAGGAGGAGCCTGGTCATGAACTGGTGCTTCCCGTACTCCTCGTCGAGTATTCTCTGGAGGTGCCGGGTGCCCGTCTTGGGAATCTGGACGGAGACCGCCCTCGTCTCGGAGCCGCCGTGCGCGGGGGAGATCCTCCCCAGGAGGCAGCCCAACGTCTCCAGGGCCGGCCGCAGCGGCAGCTGCAGCTGGCCGGAGGGGTCGTGCAGTGCGCCGTGCCTACGATAAGGTCGGGCCTGTCTCCCTACAGAATCAAGAATGCCAGAAACTACTCCGAGAAATTGTAGAAAAATGCAAAAAAATCGTCCACTGACTATTTTTGACAATTTTTGCATACTCCCCCCTGTAGAGGGACAGGCCCAACTTAAGCCTACGAGGGAGCAAGCGGCGGCAGAAGCATCGCCTTTCGGAGTCCGCGCGGATTTTCTCTTGGGGGGGATCGTGGCCAGACCCACATGGCGGCACCTGCAGCGCCGCCGCTGGCGCGTGAAGCGCGCCAGGGAGGGAGTCCAACGCCGCGCGCACTTCGAGTTTATGCTTTTACGCCATTGCCATTGTCATGCCAATGCCGTTGTCATGCTTCGAGTACCTCCGAGAGTGTGCTTATGCTATTTAATGTCCCTCGAGTGCCGCTCGAAGTCGAAGTCCAGCAGCGCGATCCCGTCGTCGGGGTCCTGAGGGGAGTCGACGGTCAGGGACTGGCTCAGGGGGGGGAGCCATGGAATCGACTATACATCGCCGGTTGACGGGCGAATATCGCATTCCTGGGCGGGGTGAGCTACAGTCCAGCTGGATTGGGAAGGACGCGCGAGAAGAAGCAAGACCCTTCCGAGGGCGACACTGCCCCAGGAATGCGGAGGACATGGGGCGCGAAACGCTTGGTGTGGAGAGGTTGACCTACTGATCATGCTCGACTTTGCAAAGCCCGTGCCGGCGATGAATTGGCCATTGGGGGTCCAGACATCCTCCCAGAGCCTACAGTCGGGAACGTTTGCTTGGCGCGTCGCGGCGGCGGCCCCAGCGACAGGCCAAGACCTGCGAGCTGATCGCGTGTCGTTCCGCTCCGCGGGGCGGGAGGCCGGGAGAGGCTCGGGAGGTTGACGCTCGGGGCCCGGGACGTGGCTGGCGCATCGCTCCGAAGCGTGGTGAGCCAGAACTTGCGGCGGGACACGCTGATCCAACATTCCTGACCGCCCCCCCCCCCCCCCGGCGTTGTCGGCCACGTGGGGGGGGGGGGGAAGGCTTCTTAGAAACACCCCTGCTTCTAAGAAGCCGTCCCACCTCTCATTGCACCGACCTTGAAGACGTGCTGCAGCGGATTTTTGCGTGGATTTCTGTCTATGCAAAACCCTGAAACGGCGAGTAAAAAACGAGATGAATTTCGCGTGGATCTTTTTTGTCTTCATTCCTAGCCAACAAGAACAATCCGCACGAAATTCACCTCGAAATCGGGATCGAAATTCTCCGAGACACTCTGGGCCCATCCTGTCGTTTTCCAAACGAAATCCGCTCTGCGAGGTTGGCGCCATGACACCTCCCCCCACCCACTTGTGCGCCCTGCTGCGTCGGCGCGCGGCGCCAAAGTTTTTGACACCGCGTCGACCGTGTAGCCTTGAACCGATCGCGGCCCCGATCGCTCAAGGTTGAATTCCGTCGGGCCCCGTGGCGTTTCCCGTCGTTCGATCATGCGGAGTTCAACCTGGAACGCCGTCGCCGGCGTCGCTGGCGCGCCATCGCCGCATGAACCTACAACATACCGTACTCCAGATTTCGTAATAAAGGGAGGGGGGTCTCATTTCGGGGGGGGGGTCTCTTCCAGGCAATCTTGGAGGGCCTGGGGGGTCTGGGGACGATGTTTTGGAGGGTTCTCCCACGGGGGAGGTCTGAAATGACTTGTCTTGGAGGGTCCAGACCCCCTCCCTTTTATTACGAAATCTGGAGTACCCCTCCCCGAGATCCAGCGCTGCAAAATATTAACACCTCGGCGAAGATCGCGACCAGAGCCCTGGACCCCATCTTCCTGGCCATTTGTTCGACCCGGATCGATCTATGATGGCCCTGGGGCCCGCAACCCGGCGCACACGCCTGGCTCGAAAAAGCTGAGACTCCAAGATCTCTATTACCAGCCTCGAACGTATCCCTATCCCGAAGATTGACACGCCAACAGGCGATGACAATCTTGGGGATCTGCCATCAAAAAATAAGGGAATCCCTGAGATTGGCATCGTGATGAGGAGGTGCCCAGCATAGGGATAGGGATATGTTCCAGGCTGGTAACTCTAGGCCTCCTAGATGAGGTCCGAGTAGACGGGGTCAGAGGATCGCACCGCATCGCTGATGCATCGACGATGCATCGGCGACGTCGGCGATGCATCAGCGTCGCCAGCATGGCGACAATCGGGGTTCCGCATCGAGCCGCATCGTCGGCGATGCGGCGCGATCCTCCGGCCCCATCTGCTAGGACCCCATCTGGGAGGCCTAAGATTAGGTCGGGCGTGTCCCCTACAGGCGGATTTGGGGCAAAAAATCAAACATGCTTCAAACATATGCAGGAATGATCAAACAATGGCCGAACGATCTTCCACAGACTCTTCTCATTCTTTTTTTTTTGTTCTCTCTCTCTCTCTCTCTCTATATATATATATCTATTCCTATTCATCTTTTAATGGGCCGGGGACGCTGGAAAAAGTGCACCCCCCACTCCCTAGCGAATTTGACCCTTCCCGGGCCTCCGGGCAACCCTTCAGACGATCCAGGAGAACCTCACGAGAGCCCGAAGACGGCACCAGACGGGTTCCAGGCTTTCCGGCGCGCTCCCGAAACGACCCCAAAGAGCTCCAATACGGTCCACGACGACCCCCCAAAAAGCCGTCATACCTCCAAAGATCGCTCCACAACACCCCAAGAGGCCTCCAAGAGCACTCCCAAGAAGGCCCCAAGAGGCAAAATCATTGCTGTTCTGTCAGTATTTGGTGAATTTGGGGGTTCTCCTCTTTTCAGCTTCCCGACGCTCCAAGACGGCGGTCTTCTAGGCGTCCGAAGCCACCTGGGAGGCTCCAAATGGCCCCACGACCACCCGAAAGGGCTTCCAGGCAGTCCACGAGAGCCCCGAAAACGGCACAACAGGGGGTCCAAGATGGCCCTCCGAGGGCCACCTGGCGGCCCAACATGGCCCCAGGACATCCTCCGAAGCAATCCAAACCGTTGAAGGGAAACTGGGACACATAAATGAATACACACAAATAAAAAGATTCCCCATAGTTTCCTATATTTTCTGGGTTTTTGTCTTCCCCACCACTTCTCATATTTTCCCATATTTTCCTGGGGATCGACGATTAATTGTGTCTGTGTGTTTTTCCCCTCCTGAATCGTGACCCGGTCGTTCAGGGAGACCGCGGTTGGAGGCAGGGTGGCCCGAGGAAGCCCCCCAAAGGCCCCCAGAACACGCCCAGGAGGCCTCCAGAAGGTTAAAAAAGGATGCCTGATAAACTTGAACGGGGCCCCCAAAGGCTCTCCAAGGAGGAGCCTCCGCCAAATGAGCCCAGGAGGATAGGGAGAATGCGCAGGGTATGGCGAGAACGAAGAAAAACAAGCATAGAGGACGGTTAACGAATAACATTACTATAACGGCGATGCCGAAAAAGGCAACAAGGAGCTATCGCTAAGTTGTCGCCTTGACCTTCCTGCCGTTCCGCCTGCATGCCAAACTTCAGGGACAAACGTGCATGGCGCGAAGCGCTACTGCAATCTTGTGTATATATATATATAATAGAAATGTAAACACCTATTCTTGACTACTCGCCCTGTAGAGGGACGCGCCCGACTTAAGCCTAGAACATCTCGGGCCCCCCCGCAGATCTGACGCTGCCCTGGATCAGGGGGGCGTAAGACCCGGGTACAGGGGACTCGGAAATCCCCGACGAGGTCGTCAAAAAAATGACGAGGCCGAGCCTGCATTTTGACGAGGCCTCCCGCTGCAGACATCCCACAAAACTCCTACTCGTCAAAATCCGAGGCGCGGTCGTCAAAAAGCGATGGCGAACCCGAGTCCTGGCAAACCCGGGTCTTACGCTCCCCCGATACATATATATATATATATATAAATATATATATTTGTATGCATGTATATATATATATATATACCTATATATGTGTAATAAAAATATAAACAGCTATTTTTGACTATTCTTCCTGTAGAAGGACGCGCCCAACTTAAGCCTAGAACGCTCAGGGCCCCCCTCAGATCTGACGCTGCCCTGGAGGTCCCAGGCCGGGGGCGCCGCGTACCTCGAGCTGCCCGCGCCCCCCCGGCCCTTGCCGCGCCGCCCCTGCGCGCGGGCGAGCGCCGGCAGCGCCGCCGCGGCGAGGGCGAGGGGCAGACACGCGCTTCGCATGGCGCCCCGGGGGAGGCAGCGGAGGACATCCGGGTCGGCCGCGCGCAAGGGCGACCCCGTGCCCAGACCTGGGTTAAAACGACGCGAAGATCGGGACACAATCGGATCGGGATAACTCGAAATCTCTGAGAATCGGCGGGTTTGGAGGATGTATTGGGCGCCGCGGCCGCTCCAGAGCGTTCCGGAACGCTCGGAGAGCGCTCCAGAACGCTCTGGAGCGATTTATCCCGATCCTAGCCCTGTTTTATGGGTCGGGCACGTCCCCCGACAGGCGGACTTTAGACGAAACGTAGAAGATAGAAAATCAAATCCCGGGACTATGTTTTTAGCCTATTGTTGAATATTCCTCCTGTAGCGGGACAGGCCCGCCTTAAGCCCATGCCCCCTCGACTTGAGCCATGCACACCCAGAGGTACGCAGCACACCGAATTCACATGCGCGCGAGCCCTCCACATGCGGCCTCAGATGGAAGCTCTAACTTACTCTCCAACTTGGAACGCGGATTGGGGGTGTTGTGCTGTTTTCGGCCTCTGGGGGCCCTCATCACCGGGCCTCGGGACAGTCAATCCCAGACCCCCGACGTCGTGATTGTTTCACAACGTCGACCCCCAGAGGTCTGGACCCCTTCCCCAGGACCGGTTTGTCATCCTGAGTCGTTTTTTGCCGGTCCTGCGGCCTGGGAAAGGCCCCCCGAGGCCGAAAATAGTGAAAAACCTGCCGTCGTGGTTTTTTAACGACGCGACGGGGTCTGGGATCAACGACTCAATACGGCACGGACTCGGTTCGCCGGAATCACGGTTCGCCGGGACTCGGCTCGCCGGGGTCTGGGTGCGCCGGGGCTCGCTTCGCCGGGGCTCGCTTCGCCGGGGCTTGGCTCGCCCGGCTCGATTCGCCCAGTAAGGAGCGAAACCTTTTTTGGGGCCCCCAAGAGCGCCCTGGTGCACGAGATGACGCCAGTGACCAGCCTCGCCCCTCCCGCTCCCCCCTGCGACCTGGCCACGCCACGCTTCGCGCCGGCGCCGCCTGGGGATGAGCCACCACCCTAGGGACTCCCAGACGGCGCCCACGCGACTCGTGACGTGATCGGCCCTTCCCCCCCCCCCGAGATCCGAACGAGAATTGAGACGTCGAAAGAAATCACGACCGGAGCCCTGGGCCCCAACTTTCGGCCCCCAGGGCCCGACACCCGGCGCAAGCGCCCGGCTCGAAAAAGTCGAGGCGCCAAGATCTCAGGGCTCCCTGGTCACGCGCGCTGTCGCCAGGGGATGGGCACGCGGTCCCCTCTGGTGCGCGGCCTCGCGGGGCCGCGGGGGGAGGGGGCCGAACTCGAGCGCGCAGGCCCGCTCCCTTCGCGCCGCGCTCGGCGGTCTCCGCGGGCTCGCGCCAAGGAGGTCGCTGCGGCGAAGGGCCGCTCCTGCGCGCAGCCGAAGTGGGGGCGCCGCCTCGCGGCCGCGCCCGTGGACCCGACGGGCCTGCGGAAGCTGCGCCTTCCCGATGGCTCGGCGTCGGACGGACGGACGGCCC